AGCCCCGCCCCCCGGGGGTGCCGGGTGGTTTTTTTTTTTTTTTTTTTTTTTTTTTGCTATAGGTGTGTGCGCTCGCCAGACAGAGACAGAAAATGAGAAATCACCCCCAGGGGGAATGGCCATGCCACAATGCCTTCTCCCCCATTCTCCTCTCAGGATCTTGGGCACGCACGCACATGCGCCCAGCGTGAGTTTAAGCCACCGGGTCTGGGACGCGAACCGCAGTCCACTACATGGGAATCCAACAACATAGCCATTACACTAACTGCTGGTCCCTGCTGGTAGGTCCTGGAACCGCAGGCTCTATTTCTTGCCCCCACCCCTCACCCCAACCCTCTTGGCTCTAGGCTCCAGCAGGTGAGCTGTTTTCCTGCCTCACTATCCTCAGACAGGCAGGAGCAGGTCCCACCTCTGCACGAAGCCCTTCCGAGGCGCCCAGCAGCATCCTTAACCAACACGCAAACTCCTCTCCTGACCTGGGTCCGGGGGCTTTGCGCAGTCTGGACTCCACCCAGCCTCCTCCTCCTCCCTGATCCCTGTCTCCATCCTGCGGCCTGCTCCTCCCTCCCTGCCGCCCCTCCCTCACCCTTCCTGCACACACTCCGCTTCCTGCTCGGCCTGGGGCCCCACGCATTCTCCCTTGAGAATTCTCCCCTCGTGCTAGTCCCAGCCAGTGGCCTCCGCATGCTTAGTGTGGGTCTCTCTCCCTCAGGCCGCCCGATTCCCTTCTCCCTCCCACCCCAGGCTTACTCCAGGCCAGTCGGGGAGCAGGCAGGACGCCTTGCAGTGGCTCTGTCCAGGAAGAGGGAGAAGAGGACAGAGGGACGCTCAGGAGCTAAGGGCCAGAGCATGCACTGTCCAGGTGGCCGTGGGGTTCAGGGAGCAGAGGGGTGGGAGGGCTCCCCGCCCCCGCCATGTCAGCTGCTACAGGAGCTGGGGCCAGAGCTTGGACAGACACGTCTGTGCTGATGGTAGGACAGGCGCTGCTGAGGCCGGGGTCGGCCAGGGCCACAGGGAGCCAAGCCAAGATGGAGCCGTGGTCTCCTCAGTGTGGAGGCAGGGTCTGCCTCCAGGGCTTGCGTGGGATGGCCCAGCGTGGTTATTACCCCGATCCCGGGCAGGCCAGCCTGTAGGAGACTGGGGAAGACTGAGAGGGTGGCCATGGCTGGGGACGAGGTGGCACCTGCCATCCGAGGGAGGGCCTCTTCAGGTGCCCTGAGACAGAGGAGAGCTGCAGTGCCGGCCCCAGCCGCCCGCCCTCCCCTCGCCCACCCTCTCTGTAGGCACAGCCATGACGGTGCCCAGCAGGCAAAGTCGAGCTCACCCCAGGCCTGGCCCAGTGGCAGCCTGAGGCTGGGGCTGACCTGCCCAGGCGCCATCTGCCCGCTTTCTCCCGGACGCAGCCTCGGATGTGGACGCTGGCGACGTGACCCCCACCTCACCGAAGTGAGACCCACCCCTACTCTTTCAGGTCTCCTCTGCTTCTGCCATCTCTGTTTTTCTCTATTCCCATTAAAAATACATTGCGGAGAGAGAAATCCAAGCAGATGTTTCTTTGGGGACCAGCTGTCACAGGGGGTGGCCTCAATTTCGTATAACTAAAAGAGCACTGGGCCCCAGGGCGGGGATGAGGGTGCGTGGGCATCATTACGTGGTGGGCAGATGCCAGCCCAGGAGGGGTCTTCTCCAGAACACGATGCAGCTTCCCTTTTATTGTTCTTCCCCCCGCCTTTATTTAAGTTTCTTTCTTCATGAGAGAGACAGGCACCCCAAAAGGATCCCAACCCTCCAATCCACTCCAGCTTCAGGCAGCCCCAGATCACGGGCGTGGACATGTGCATGCCTGGTGTGTGCAGGGTCGGGGCAGAGGTGTCTCTGCCTCCGGATCAGAAACCCTCCCCGTAGGTCAGCGTCACGGACCACGGATGCATTACCACCCTGCCATCGTGCGGCAGTGTTTTGCTTTGTTTTTGTTTGTTTTTGTTTTAAGAGAGATTTTTGCTATAGGACATGCGTGCTTTCCGGAGAGACAGAGATACAACGAGAAATCACTCCCCCAAGGGGGATGGCCACTCCACAGTCCCCTCCCTTCCGTTCTCCTCTCGGGGTCTTGGCCACGTACACACACACACACACACACACACGCACGCGAAGTGAGCTTTAAGCCACAAGGGCCGGGACTCAAACCGCAGTTGACTAGGTGGGAGTCCAGTGACATAGCCATTACGTCATCTGCTGTTTTAAGGATGCTCTGCAAAGCCAAAGGATGCAGCGGTCGGTGCCAGGCTCCAGCAGTGGGTGACGGAGAGGAAGCGGTGGTAGCACCTGTCCATGGTGGTGCAGCCCGACTCTCCTCCCCGCCTTGGAGATGAGCACCGTCCCTGCATCTGGGAGCCTAAGCCTCAGCTCCCTCTGCCCCCACCTGTTACCTGGCCATGCCCCGAGGCCATCCGCCCAGGCTCCTGGTTCTGAGTACCCTGTCCCTAGGGCCCTGCTGCATGAGCCTCGATGGACACTGTGACCCGCACAGTGCCGCAGCGTGACCTCAAGTCCCACGCCTGGCTGGCATTGTGCGTCAGCGCTACAGAGCCCGCGCCCTGCCTGACAGGGAGCTGGACACTCAGCCAGCGGCACTGGGCCTCAGCGCAGGCCAGCACCACGGTGCCGTCGGGATTGCTGTAGGTGCACCAGTTCCGGGCCGCCCTTTCCTCCACGGCCAGATCCCAGCTGCCCCCAGGCTCCCTGTCGTCCAGCCCCGGAGCCTGGAAACCCAAGTGGTCCCGGGTGACGGGGCACACCAGCTGCTCCTCCTGCAGGGCGGGCACCACCTGGCCCTTGAGGTAGGCAGGGCCGGCGCAGTAGGTCTGGACGTTGAAGAGCCGGTCATTGTACTCGCGTAGCCAGTCGAAGAGGTAGGCCAGGTGGCAGTCGCACTGCCAGGGGTTGCCGTGCAGGACCAGGTTGAACAGGTTGTAGTTGGTGTTGAAGATGCCCTCCGGGAGCGTGGTCAGCTGGTTTCTGGACAGGCCGAGCAGCTCCAGCTTGGACAGGTTCTGGAACAGGGCTGGGTGCAGGGCCGTCAGGTTGTTGCTGCCCAGGGAGAGCCTGACCAGCTCCTCCAGGTCCCTGAAGACGCCGGCGGGGAGGTGGGCGATGGCATTGTACGAGAGCGTCAGGGAGCTGAGCCTGGACAGGTTGGCAAAGGTGCCCTCAGCGAGGGTCTCCAGCTGGTTGTGGGACAGGGACAGGCTGACCAGGCCTGGAGTGTGGGCGAAGAGGCTGGCAGGCAGCGTCCGCAGCCTGTTCCCCTGCAGGTTCAGGAAGGTCAGGTTGCCCAGCGAGGCGAAGACGGAGGGCGGCAGGTGCCCGAGGGCGTTGCGCTGCAGCCACAGCTTCTCCAGGCAGAGGAGCTGCGAGAACACCGCCGGCGGCAGCTCCGAGATGGCGTTGCCATCCAGAAAGAGCTCCTGCAGGCTGCCCAGGCCGCGGAACACGCCCGGGGGGAGGCCGGAGAGCGCGTTGTTGCTCAGCCGCAGGGTCTGCAGGCTGCTGAGAGGGCGGAACAGCTCCTCAGGAAGCTGGGCCAGGAGGTTCTGGGCCAGGTTGAGGGTCTGCAGCTGCGTCAGGGGCTGGAAGAGTTTCCCAGGCAGGGTCTGGAGACGGTTCCCCTGCAGCTGGAGGGTCTCCAGGGCGCCCAGGTGGTGGAAGAGGCCCTCGGGCAGAGCCTCCAGCATGTCGAAGTTGAGCGTGAACTTGCCCAGCGAGGTCAGGTTGGAGAAGATGTCAGCACTGAGGTTGGAGAAGCTGCTGCCTGTGACCTCCAGGTCCTCCAGCCTGGGCAGCCCCCCGAAGGCATCCGGGGCGAGGTGGCGGAGCTGGGTGTTGAGGAAGACCACCTTGGTCAGGTTGGGGCTGCCGCCCAAGGCCCTGGTCCCCAGCGAGGTGAACGAGGTCTCCACAAAGACAATGTCCGTGGCATGCGGCGGGATGTCGGGCGGGATGGCGGCCAGCTCCTCCGCGCAGAACACCTCCCGGATGAAGCAGTCGCAGCCGCTGGGGCAGGGCTGGGTGGGCCCGGCCAGGAGCAGGAGGGAGGCCCAGCGCAGCCAGGCTCCGGGGAGCATCTCCTGGACCCGAGGAGGCACAGAAGACAGAAAGGATGTTTTACCAGGAGCGAAGTGGCGCTGAGCCCCAGTGTGCCCCAACACCGGATCAGGCTGCAAACAGGGCTCGCCTCCCCGAAGAGCCACATGGAGGGCTCCAGGGCATCCCTGCGGTGGGACTCCACAGCACTGTCTTTCCTTCCTGCTTTTGTTTTGAGAGAGGTTTTTGCCATAGGGCCTGTGTGCTTACTGGAGAGACAGAGAGAGTGAGAGATCACCCCCAGGGAGATGGCACACTGCGATCCCTTCTCCTCTAGTTTCCTCTCGGGTTTTTGGGCACACACACAAATGCACCCACCGTGAGTTTTAAGTCCCTGGGTCCGGAACTCCAGCCGAGTCCACTCCGTGGGAGTCGGAACCACTGCGCCATCTGCTGGTCTCTAACATATTCTCAGTAGCTCAATGTTAAAAAAAATTTGTTTTGTCGTGTGTGTGTGTGTGTGTGTGTGTGTGTGTGTGTGTTTGAGAGGTTTTTGCTATAGGGCGCATGCGCTCGCCAGACAGAGAGAGACAGAGAGACAGAAAGCGAGAAATCACCCCCCAGGAGGGATGGCCACGCCGCAATTCCTTCTCCTCCATTCTACTCTTGGGATCTTGGACGTACACGCACATGCACCCGGCGTGAGTTTTTTAAGCCTCCATGTCTGGGACGCGAACTGCGGTCAACTACATGGGAGTCCAGCGACATAGCCATTACGCTAACTGCTGGTCCCAAGATCTGGTTTTTTTAGGCTTTCTGTATTCTTTACAGATTGGAGAGAAAAAATGGAAAGGAGACAAAGACATGGAAGAGAGGTGGAGAAGGGACCACGAGTACTCTGGAGTTCGTGAAGTTGTGAAGTTGTACAGGTTACACATAAAACGTGGGTGGATTCTTTGAGTTAGAAGGGAACTCTCAGTAGCAGTTCTTCCCAAACTTCACAGCCTCCGTGCTTGGGAGCTCATGACGGGGTGGTTCCACCCTCTGCCTTCTGCTGTGTGTGCTGAGGTGAGTGCGGCCGCAGGGATGAGAGAGGAACCCTCGGTTCTGCTGCCAGAATTCTCCACTCCTGCCCAGGCCTCTCTGCCCCTGCCCAGCCCCACTGGGATAGGACCCGGGGACCTTTCCAGGGTTGTGTGGACAGGAAGGTCCCAGACTTGGGGATTCCACAGACTACTAGATCTGTTAATATAAGGGAGGGGGACCAAGCTTTTCATTTGCTAAATATTAATTAAAAAGGAAAAACACCTGCCAGCCAGCATCAACCCACAGGTCACAAATTGGTGGCGCAGCTTAGAATGTGTTTTCTTACTCCTCAGATGATCTTTCTCACATATGAATCCGTAGTTAACATGCAAAAATTGGCAAGTGTCACATTAGAAGTTGAGGTTTCCGGACGATCGGGGCAGTGGACTCAGTCCCACAGGCAAGGCCGACTGGCGCGTTGTCGCCTGCCCCACTAGCAGGCGTGTGCTCTGCAGACTGCTGTTCCCACTCGCCTTGCTCATTCACAGGGCTGGTGCTGGTTCAACTGCCTCGAGTTCAAATCCCAGGCCCATCTGTGCATGTGTGACCTTGGGCATGTTACTTAACCCACCCAGGCTTCCATTGCATTGTCTGTAAAGAGCGGATAATGAGTGTCTGCCACATTAGGGCAATTGTAGGGATTCACTAAGTAAAGACATGGAATTAGTTATGAGTTTAGGAGCCAGCAGGTGGCATGGTGGTTAGGGGTGCTGGACTCCCACATGGTCGACTGCAGTTCAAGTCCCTGACCTGGCAGTGTGTTTTCTCATTTTCTCTGGTGCACACTCACTCTGTTCCTCTCTGGTCAAATTTAAATAAATAAAATTAAATAAATTACTTCTTTAATAAATAAATACATAAAGTACAAGTTTATTTTGTTGCAAATGATGTTTGGAATCTACGGGCAGTTTGCAGTTTTTTCATAATGGGCATTTCCTTTAGGGCTTTCTGATGACCCTGCAGGTGGGGAGAGTTTCAGCTCATGGGCTGACACAGAGGAAGCAATGAATAAACTAACCATTGTTAAAGGGAGCAAGCCCCATACAGAAACAGTGGGAAGACAAAAAGCCCATTAGATAGAATTTACCCAAAATCAAAAGAGAAAGAACTCAGGAACCAGCAGTTAGCGTAATGGCTATGTCGCTGGACTCCCACGAAGTCGACCGCGGTTCGCATCCCGGACCCAGTGGCTTAAAACTCACGCCGGGCGCGTGTGCGTGTGTGCCCAAGATCCCGAGAGAAGAATGGAGGAAAAGGGATTGCGGCGTGACCATCCCCTCTGGGGGGCGATTTCTTGCTTTCTGTCTCTATGTCTCTCTCTCTCTGTGTCTGGCGAGCGCACGTGCCCTATAGCAAAAAAAAACTCAAAAAAAAAAAAAAAAAAAGAGAGAGAAAGAAAGAAAAGAGAAAGAACTCCTCTCACAAGACTGAGGTTTTCTGATTTCGCCTCTCAGCAAGTTTACAATGGGGTGAGGGTCGGTGCTGGCAGTGCCTCTGCTGCCCCCGCCTCTGCTGCCCCCTACAGGCTACCTCCTCCATCTCAAAATTCAGGGCCCCAACCCCAAACCAAGGTCGCCATATGCAAAAGGTGCCCAGAAGGAACGGGCTTACAGAGCCCCATTTGGCCTCCAAAGGCTCAGTTTTCCCAGGAATGTTCTGTCTAATCAACAAACAAGGAGCAAGTTCTCCCTGAGAAAATGCGCACCTCCCGGCCTCCCAGAGTTGGTGAGGAAGGGTTCTATCGATAGGGGAGCGGTCTGACCTCAGCGGTTCCCTCCAGGAATACAAAAGCATCCTTGCTTCTTCCGATGGCAGGGACAGGGACCAGTTTTCCTGTAAGTGCACGTCCCCAGACGTGCACTATTTAGCGTGAGGCTGTGTGTCTGTTGAGACGGGGTATGTAGAAGACAGACGAAAAGCAGCAGGCTCTGGCCGAAGAGGACTGGCCGTCCGCCCACCTCCTGGGCCGCCCCTGCAGCACCTACACAGAACCCCTAGGGCTCCTGACACAGAGGTCCCTAGGGCCACGGGAAGGAGGACCTGAGATATGTTTCCCCATCTTTTTCTTTTTCTTCTTTTCCTTGGTAGAGGGCACACACACTAGCTAGAGAGATAGAGAGAGGGAGAGAGAGAAAGCACCCCCAGAGGTGCAAGCCCTCTCCATCCCTCCATCCTGCGGGATCCAGAGCACACACGCACATGCACCTGCTGTGTTTTCTCAAACCTCCAGGGGAGGGATTTGAACCACAGACAGCCATAAGAGATTCTGTGTCCTTAACTACTAAGTATGGGGCGGCCCTGTTTCTCCACCTGAACACTCGGCATAGGCTCTGAAAAGGGCGAGTTTACATGGGAGGCCAGTGGGCCAGTGGGCTCTCGCACCACACAGCATTGCCTTCCTGCACCTCATAGGAAGAGCCCTCCAGGCTGGGATGAGCAGCTTGGGAGGCAGGACTGCCCTTCCCAACGACGGTTCAAGGCAGACCCAGACGAGCACCAGCCAGGCCATGAGGGCGGCCTTGAGTCCACCCAACACCGAGAGAAGAGCGCTCCTCACGTCTGATTGCCACAGCGTCATCCTGTGCCGGCCGCTTCCTCGCCAGCCCCCACGGCCATTGGGTCTCGGAGGCAGCTGGCAGACAAAACTCCCCGAGGTACGAGGGCCCTGGGGACCGCCTGCCGCCTCCTCACAGAGAGATCAGGGTGTCCACACGGGCTGGGTGTGGAGTCCAGATCTCCCTCCCACCAGGAAGATCGGGACCAGAGCCAGAGGCGCCCCGTGACAGGAAGGCGCAAGTTCTTGGGAGAGCATGCCTCACCCACCACGCCAACCTGGGACGGGGTCCTTGTGCCTCCAACTTTTATCCTTTGTCATTGGCAGGTAATGTGCCTTCGGAGTGTCCAAGGAACTCACTCCAGAGGCCAGGCCTGGAGTCATAGCTGCAGCATTGTTGGCACAGAAAACCCAGTGTCACGGATCAGCGTAGACCTGGGCGAGGCTGGGCGGGGGCAGGGAGGTGCCTCTGGACCTGAGGCTGAGCTGAGCACTGACCCCTCCAGTTCCCAAAGCTCTCACGTGGGCATCTGAGTATTCAGGGCAACCTAGACGTGCCCAAGACAGGGAATCAGGCTCCCAGAGCTATGGCGACTGGCCCAGGGCACACGGTTCAGAGTGAGGGCCAGGACCAGCCCCGACGGCCTGGGCTCTGAGCTGGGAGCTCACTGCGACAGCACGAGGCTCCCTACCAAGGCAGTGGAGCGGGTAGGGCAGGCAGACCCGCTCCTCACGTTTGCAGGACCCAGTACGCATACACGGGGACTCTGCTCATGGCCGGCCCCCCATTCTGCCTCACTGTCTCCTGTACGTGAGTAGAGACCCCACCCCACAGGCCTGGGGGTGTGCACCTCTGCGGCACAGTCAGCCCAGGAAGACGGATGGGAAGGCAGTCCTCATAGGCTGGGGTCCTGGGCACCCACTGCATGATTTAAAATGAGGACACCGTCCAGCGCTGGTGAAGTGTGCTGCTAAAACCCTGTGCTCTGCAGGCCGGGATCACCAGGAGCCCGTGTTTAATTCCCCAAGCCACGCTAAAGGCCAGGCACGGGGGTGTTTGCCTGAAGTCTCAGGGACTTGTGGGGGAGGGTTGAGGCATGAAGATTACAAGCTCAACCTGGTCAGTGTCGCAAGACGTTGTCTAAAAAAAAAGCCGGGCATGGGACCAGCAGTTAGCGTGATGGCTATGTCGCTGGACTCCCACGTAGTCGACCGTAGTTTGCGTCCCAGACCCGGTGGCTTAAACTCACGCTGGGCATGTGTGCATGTGTGCCCAAGATCCCAGGAAGAGAATGGAGGAGAAGGGATTGTGGTGTGGCCATCCCCCCGGGGAGTGATTTCTCACTTTCTGTCTCTCTGTCTCTCTCTGTCTGTCTGGCAAGCGCACGTGCCCTATAGCAAAAAAAACTCTCCACAAAAAAAAGCCAGGCAGGCGCCAGCAGGTGGCGTGGTGGCTAAGGCACTGAACTCCCACATGGTCAACTATGGTCTGAGTACCGGATCCAGCAGCTTAAAATTCATGCCATGCACATGCGCATGCGTGCCCAAATCCCAGGAGGAAAATGGAGGTGAAGGGATGGCAGTGTGGCCATCCCCCCAGGAATAATTTCTCACTTTCCTTCTCTCTGTCTCTCTCTGGCAGGCACACACACCCTATGGCAAAATCCAAAAAAAAAGAAAGAAAGAAAGAAGAAAGGAGGGGCGACTACGAGCGAGAGCTCCGAGTGAACGAGCGAGGGAATGCCCGGATCGGCTTCTGCTTGGGGACGGGCCTCGGAGGTGGAATAGGACCTCTAAACCTCAGGCCAGACCCCTCCTGCCCTGCTGCAGGAGGTAGAGGATGAGGAGAGCAGAGCTGCCTCACAGGGAGGGGTGGAGGACTGCTCCCAGCCCAGGCTCATTCTCAGGCACCCTGACAACCTGAGAGTTTATGCTCTGGAGTCGATCTGAGTTCAAAGTCGGTCTCTATCCCTGCCTAGCTGCGTGACCTTGACTGAATTACTTAACTTCTCTGAGCTTTACTTCCTTCATCTTCAAAACATCAAATATAACCCTACCTTTGTCATGGCGTGATGCATGGGGAGCTCCCAGCCCAGAGCCGGGCCAGCACAGGGGCCCAGCAATGTCTGTGACCCTGCCTCTCCTGAGCCAACTGGGCCCCAGTCTGCACAGAAGCAGTCCCAGAGGTTAGCTGCAGGAAAACGGGAACGGGGAGCTCATGGGGCTGGCCCCTCTCGACCAGGGGGAGCGCCCTTCAGCACTTGCAGCTCTTCACTCCCCAGACAACGAAGGACCACCATGCTGTCCTTGGCGAGGGGCTCAGATTCTGAGGCCACCAGCCAGGGTGCCTCACCTGGGCCTGGGCCACTTGCCCTGCCCACCCTCGAGGGCACAGTCACTGGGGAGCTCTGGATTCAGGCAGTGGCCCTGTGGGCGCTGCTGGAGCTGGCAGCAGAACCACGGGGGCGGGGAGGCGGGGAGGCGGGCAGCCGCCTGGAGAGTCCTGCTTTCCGTCGGGAGTGAGACCAGCAAGTGCCCACAGGAATGTCCCACACTTCCACAAGCCAAGAACGCCGAGGGTTTTGTTTTCCCCCTGGTTGGCTGGGTCCTCTCCTCAAATTGCCCTTGGGCTGGTTCATTTCTGTGCATGCCTTCGGTTATTCTGTCATCCACCACAGAGCTGAACTCACTCCTTCCGCGGGGTGATGGGAGCCCAGAGCCCGGCCCCCAGGGACCTGCCACTCTAGGCTGACTGCTACTGCTGACCCCCAGCGGGGTTGAGCCACTGAGGCCCCAGCTCGTCTGGGAGCCAGAAGAGGGGCTTTGGAGGCGTGCCCAGAGCCCATGGCTGCTTCAGTCAGTTCTCAGAGCAGACCTGCCTCCTTCCCTCTCAGCACAGCAAACTAGGCCAAGTGGCTGAGGCAGCCAGGCCTGGACCGCTCCGCCATGGCCAGCCCTCCCCCACCTGCCGCCCGTCACATCCTGGGAGTGCCGCACCCCTCGGAGTCCTGGCCTCTGCATCTGCAAGTCGAGAACAGCATGATAATAATAATCACAACACCCCACTCAGAGCACCAACGGGTCTGTCGTGGCCCTTAAATGAGACAACGGTATATTGTAGGAAAATGCAGCAACGGGTCCAACATGAGAGGTCGTTAATGAGTCAGTGCGCGCAAAGCGGGAGAGACTTGTTCTGCTCACGAGCATCGTGCAGAGATGTTTGCAGTATCGTCAGTGGAATATGTTGACCCTCGGATTCACAGGGCTCCTGTTTGAAAGCAGATGTGCAGAGAAAACAGAAGCCCACAAAATATCTGCAGCAGTCCTCTCTGAAAAATAGCATTGTGGATGCTTTTAATTTTTTGCTTTTATTTTAAAATGTATACTCTACATTAAAAAAAAAAAAAAGAAAGTTGCCAAAAGGCACATGTGCTCATTAGAGGCAGAGAGAGAGACAGAGAGAAAGAGAGAGAGAGAGAGAGAGAGAGAGAGAGAGGAGGCACCCCCATGGGAGATGGCCACCCCACAATCCCTTCTCCCCCTTTTCTCCTTTTTATTGGGGCTTCTCAGGCACACATGCACACGTGCTGGGCACATCCGTCAGGCTGCTGGGCCCGGACTTGAACTGCACAGCTGTTCATGTGTTATCCGGCTGCCTTAGCCCCAGGTTGGCCCTCTACATTTTGAATAATAAAGTGATAGAAGGTAAAAAGCGCATTTATTATGAAAGGTGAGCTAATCGTATGAAACACGAAGCCCGGTTCTAAGCACATAGTAGGGACGTACTTGATGTTGTCTTTGCTGGCAGTGACGTTGCAAAGGCTGATGGGAGCTGGCCGACGAGCTGTGCTAGCGTTCTGGGAGAGAAGATGGCTAAGACTCTGAGACGTGACCCAGCACGGTCACACTCCCTTCACGGCCACTCCAGGCTCACTTAGGCAGTCCCTGTCACATAAGAAATCTTACACCTGCCTTTCCCTGTGGCTTCCTGTCCCAGTTCCACCCTCCCTCCCGACTGGCACGAGTCACGTTTCCCCATGAAGCCTCCTTGACTGCCCTCCATGTGTCCACAGGTCGAATGCGTGGGTCCTTCTGCCCTGTATTCTAACTGGCTGCTCCCCCCCCCCGCCGCCCCACCCGACTGAGACCTGGGGTGGGCCTCCTGCCCCGTCTCACTGTGCCAGGCTCCGCACCTCAGCTCCTGGCTGGGGACGGGGCCCTGAGCCGGCCCCAGTCTGTGCGCTGAGTGGAGCAAGATGCCTTCACGGGCTCGGTGACCAGGGCACAAGCCTCTCTCTGCATCTTGCTTAGGGGAGGAGAAACACCCGGGCTCCTCCAGGGCCCTGGGTTTGCATTCCAGTGAGCTACCCACCAGCTGTGCAGGCTCAAGCAAGCCGCTCCATCTCTCCAAGCTTTAATTTCCCCAGGATGCAGGCAGAGACCAGGCCTGAACCGGGCAAGCCTGTCCCCAGTCACCACTCTGAGCTCCCTGAGGGCAGGGACCAGGTCACCCTCATCCTGAATCTCCACATCACCCTGGCTGAGCCCCTCACCTCCTGTACGGGAGAAGGTCCCAGAGATTGCAGCCGGCCTGGCGCCGAGGACTGCTCCAAACCCTGGGCAGAGGGACAAACCCCTGCTGCCCACAGCCCTCGGCCAGAAGCCCTGCAGTTCCCCCAGAGGCCTACCGTGACGGCTGACAGGTGGGCCGGCTGGCCTGGCTCTTCTCAGAGCGGAGGGCTATCTGGTGTGGCCTGTGGTCAGCTCAATCCAGCCCCAGCTCGGATCAAAGTTCCGGGCAGGGGTTCCTCCCCTCACGTGGCTAGAGTGTTCCCGGAATGTCCCCAGGGTCACAGTACGGGAGGAGAGTCTGGGCAAGGCCCCTGCAGATTACAAAATGGGTCCAGGCTGCTCCCACGCACATAGCTCTGGTGGGGCCAGATCCCACCAAGGTCGCAGGCTTGGCACCGGCCAGGCCCTGAGAAGTTCCCAGGGGTCCACGCTCATAGGGCTCCTGAGAATGATGGCTGGGGCCAGGAGCCCACCTCAGCCACGGCACCCGCGCAGAGCCCCCAGTGCCGGGAGATAGTCGAGGAGGCTGTCAGTTTGTTATTTTGTTTTGCCTTGTTTATTTAGTGAACTAACTTTCTGAGCAGGGGCGTGAATTTTGGCCCAAGATGGAGAGGAACTCTTTTACATGTGGGCTAAGGGTGAAAGTTGCTTTGGGCAGCCAGCAGGTGGCTTGGTGGTTAAGGCGCTGGACTCACACAAGCCTGTGGTTTGAGTCCTGGACCAGGCAGCTCGCTTTTTCACTTTCTCTCTTCTTTCTTTCTATCTCTGGTGAGCGCATGTGCCCTATAGCAAAATTAGCAATAATAATAATAAGAAAAGTAACATAAATAATTCTTAAAAAAAAAAGAAAGAAAGAAAGTTGCTTTGAGGGGAGTGATTTTCCTGTCCCTGGAGGTGATCATTCAGAAGCTGCCGAGAAGGCGGAGTGTGTCTGTGAGTGTGTGTGAGTGTGTGTGTGACCAAGGGCGTGTGTGTGCCAAGGAGTGCAGGGTGACGTGATGACCGGGCACGCCAACCGAGATGGCTTCGTGCCAGGAGTGGAGCGCTCAAAGTAGTCCTATAGTTTTTAATTCGGTGCATGGTATTGATATTTATGTCACTCTTTTTCTTCCTCTCTCTTTTTAATACACTGTAGGGTGAGTGCACTTGCAGGACAGAGACAGAAATGGGGGCAGTCAGGACCCCTACCCCCCAGGAGGATGGCTGTGACGCAGTTCCATCTCCATTCTTGGAATTTGGGTCATGCATGCACAGGTGCCCAGTGTGTTTTCTGAGCCGCCTAGTCCAGACTCGAACAGTGGTCATGTGGGACCCAGCGCCTTAACCACAGCACCACCTAGCTGGCCCATCTAGGATCACTCTTTTTTTTTTTTTTAGGTGTTTTACCATAGGGCATTTGCATAGAGAGAGGGAAAGTGAGAAATCATCTCCCAGTGGGGATGTGCACGCCGCAGTCCCTTCTCCTCCATTCTCCTCTCGGGATTTTGGGCACACGACACACACCTGTTGTCGTTTTCAGGCTGCCAGGTCTGGGGCTCGAACCACAGTCAGCCACATGGGAATCCAGTGCCTTTACCACACCACCTGCTGGCCCCTTCGCTCTTTTTATGAGAATGAATTACTATTTATTTTGCAGATGAGCTGATGGTATGACCCAAATCCCAGAGGTCCGATAAGGGTGTAGCAAGGAAGCGTTTGTCAGTGGGAGAGGAGTAGGCGCCTCCAAGGGAGCTGCAAGGTCCAGGACGAGGCGTTCCCAGTCCCACCTTCCATAGCACCCAGGCTGGCTGGCTGGGGGAGGAGCTCACGCACCTCTGGGAGACTCACAGCCAGGCCAGGGAACAGCCCAGTGCTGCCCTGTGCCCTGAGCTGGCTCTCAAGGTGTCAGCAGAGTCCGCTGGTCAGCGTGCCCTGCTGAGCAAGTCAGATTTGGCCTTAGACCTGGGCTTGCATTCTGGCTCTTCAGATAAGTAGCCAGTCCTTAGATGAGCTACTTACCTCCACCAGCATCTGGCTTCTCCTCTGTGGAATGGGTGTGCAGAGGGTCTCGGGGGTGTGGGGTGTGTGTGAGAGAGAGTGAGCCACACTGCAGGATGTGGGCCTGTGTGCAGGGAGATTTGTGTTAACTCCAGGGGTGTGCCAGGAGGACTCTAACTCCTTTCCTCATTTTCCAAAATTCCAGAAACCTCCGTGGACTAAGGTGTGATGGTTAGGGAAGGGCAACGAGGCCTAGTCCCCTGTCACTAAAGGGGTCTGGCCCTATAATACAGTGACCATTACTAACCCCTGTCCTGATCCAACCTCCTGGACATGCGTGTGTGTGTGCACGTGTACATGCACACATTGAATAAATGCTGCACGAGCTCCAATGCCTTTAGTGGCACAGGAAAACAAAACCAAACAAATCAAAACAAAACAAAACACCTCTAGCCTGAAAGTCTGGAGGCCCGGGGGGTGGTGCTAGCCCAGCCACTAGTTCACTAACTGTGGAAAATCCATTTCCTGGGCCCAGATGGGGACACAGCAATGACACAACACTCAAAGCTGGGCTCACGTGGAGAGTCCCTGGTGTGCGTCCTGGGGCCTCCTCGTGCTCACCAGATGTGCACGTGTGTCCGTGAGCCAGGCCAGGCTGGCTGAGGCAGGGGCTGGATTGCCACATAGAGACCCTGATGGGGGTGCCCATTCCTCTGTCTCTTTCTGTCATGGGATGAATGGATGAATGAATAAATACGTAAATAAGTAAATAAATTCATTTCCTGTCTGTGGCTGATTTTCTTCATCAAATGTGTTGAACCTATACTTCAGGTCCCTTCCAGTCCCAGTGGCCTATGGGTATCATTTGTTATTTGTTATTTCTTTTTTTGCCCCACTCACTCCCTATTTTTTTTTTTTTTTTTGGAGAGATTTTCACTATAGGGCACGTGCGCTCGCCAGACAGAGAGAGAGACATAGAGACCGATGGCAAAAAGTCCCCCCCCAGGGGGGATGGTCACGCCGCAATCCCTTCTCCTCCATTCTCCTCTCAGGATCTTGGGCACGCACGCATACGCGCCCAGCATGAGTTTTAAGCTACCGGGTCCTGGACTTGAACCGCAGTCGACTACGTGGGAGTCCAGCGACATAGCCATTACACTAACTGCTGGTTTCCTCACTCTCTATTTTCAATCTGCATCTGAATCTGCTTTTTTTTTTTTTTTTTTTTTTTTTTTTGGTTTTTGCCTTAGGGCGTGTCTTCTCACTGGAGAGATACAGAGAGACACAGAGAGAGGGAAAGTGAAAGATCACCTCCCCCCCTTGGAAGATGCCCAAACTGCAATCCCTTTTCTTCCATTCTCCTCAGAATTTTGGCCATGCGTGCACACATGCTCATGTGAGTTTCAACCCACTGGGTCTGGGACTTGAACCATGGAGTCAGACACTGGGGGGTCCAGTGCCCTAATCACCATGCCACCTGCTGGCCCCCAAATCTCCTTTCTGTCAGGAGCTGTGCAGGTCAGCCTTGCACACATGTGACAAGAGCGGAATCCACAGGTGTGAGATCCTCTGGCTGAGATGTCCATAGAGAGCACAACACGTCCTATGTATACCATTTATTGTTGATTCTGTACACCAAGTTTGTTACAAGCAGCATCCAGCAAAAGACAGACCCTCAAGCCTGCCCACCAGGGCTCACAGCCCACAAAACCCTGGGGACCTAGGAATCTCTAAAAGGTATCGCGAAGCATCTGGGACTATTTGCAATGATTCTCCAAGCAAAGCAAACCTGATCTACTTTTGAAAGCAGCATGAAGACAGCGGGTGGATAAGAACCATCTCTCCTGAGGGGAAAAAGAAACTGGGACAGGAGGAGTTTCACCTGCAAGTGGCCTGCCTGCCCACCCTCTCCACACCACAGCGGCAGCTTCCTTCCCAACCCACCGCCTCCAACCTGGATTGGACTCTGACTGTGGGATCTATGGGCTGAATTTCTGAGTGGCCTGTAGCTAAAGGCTAGAATACATCCAATGCCCACTTACCAACTCTGGTTACCTCGTTTTCTCTAGCTGTCTGCCCTCCCTAAGCTGCCAGATTTGGAATTCGAATCCTGAAACAGCTCTACACTGACGTCAGAAAGATGGTGGGAATGCGCCATTGGCCAGGACGAGCTCTAAGACCTTTGCTGTGCCTCTAAATTCTAAAGAGGAGGAACGAGAAACACATAGCCCAACAAGTCCCATGAGAGGGGCCACTTTTTCTTTAATGGATGGATGAGTTTCACTCCTTCCTATAGTTACAAAAGTTTGG